TTAAGTGAAGTAAGCCAGGCCCAAAGAAACATAGGTCCCATGGTTTCCCTTATTTGCAATAACCAGTGTATGTCTGGGACAAGCAGAAAAGGTCAAAAGCTATGTACATATGACCAGATAAGATGATGTTAGGCGAAATGAACCCCAAGATAGGGACACAAGTGGTTTTTTTCTTTCTTGCTATTGTTTCTAACATATTTATAAGGTACCATGTGATTTTTTTGTTTTTTTCTGTGCTCCTCCCCCATGGTATAACCCGTTTTCACTGTATTTGATTCCGGTGCTCTGCATCTTGTATATACACTTCTCTAGCTTGGGGAGGGGAAGGGAACAAACAAAATGCTTAAATAACGATACAGATTGACCCATCGTAACAATGAGATGCACAAGACACTATGTTGAAAAACAAACTTTACAATTTAGGTGGGGAGGGAAGAAGAGGGAGGGGAGAGTGTAGTTGTGGAGGTAGGAGGGAAGGGAGGGGAGGGGAAAAACAGGAGGAGGTAATAATGCTTGATAGGAAATGTACTCATTACCTTGCTCATGTAATTGTTACCTCTCTATACAGGATTTTTACAATAAATAACGTTTTATTTTTTTAAAAATTAATGACCCCCTTAAAGTGACATTCAGTCTGACCAGCCACAGGCCCCTTATCTACTATTTGGGCAGCTACCATAAGTCCTAGCCTGCCGTGATGCAGTCCTTGGCCCACATGTCCGCACCAAGGTCCCTACGTCCAACCCCTTCTAGATTATAAGTAGTCACCTTAGACAAAGACAAGCACTTTTTCTCCCTATGAGAATTGGCCTGTCAGTCCCTTTGCTGGCAATAAGCCTTTTTTCTTTGTTCCATGTGACTATGTGTTATGTGGCTTTTCTGGGCAATGGCAACAGTGTAGAGATGAAACCAACATTTTTGGGACCCTAAGACTTGTTTTACATTGCACTAGGGGGGCTCCTGGTCTTCATTTTGTGCAAAAAAAACCCACCATTCTCATAATGCTCTTATATTTTCCTTACCACACAGTTCCACAGATTCTCAAGTTTCCTCCCTCATACCAGGGAACAAACACTGCTGTCCTTGTCAGAGCCTTAAGAACCAGGAGACCATGCTGGGGCAGATGGAGAGGGATGTGAGTGGGCCAGCCACATAGCATTTCTGCACCTGATTCACAGTAATTAGGGCTTTCTCTACTTTCCAGTTTGAAAAGAACAGCAAATCTGACTTGTTGCTCAAGGAGCTGTATGTGGAAAACTCTCATCTCATGAAAGCTCTTCAGGTCACAGAAGAGAAACAACTATGTGCTGAGAGGAAGAGCCGCATCTTGGAAGAAAAAGTTCGAGCTCTCAACAAACTCATTAGTAAGATTGCACCAGCATCCCTCTCTGTATAGACTGCTAGTTTTCCTAGAGTACACACTAAGGAAAATATCTTAGAATTAAGCCATTCTGATGCCATAACTTTCTGCTCATTAGCGATGCACCTTCAGACCCATGAGGACTATGATTCGTTCTTCACCTTACAACTATGTGCCAGAGGCCAGGGAAGTAGCTATGTACAATAAACTTTTTATGGTGGTTCTAGATAATTTCCCTGAATTTCCTTTTTAAGAGTAGTAGAGTTAACTCAGGGCCTTATGCTTGCTAGGCTGGTGTTCTACCTGCCACATCCCCAGCCTCTTTTTGCACAAGTTATTTTTGAGGTAGAGATTTGCTTTGTGCACCAGCTAGCCCAGTCTGGGTTCCTCCTAACTTGTGCTTTCTCTTGTCACTGGGGTTAACAGGTGTGCACCACTGCACCTAGCCCTTGGTTGAGACAGAATCCTGGGAACTTCTTTTTGTCTGAGCTGGCATCAAATCACGATCATCCAGATCTCAGCTTCAAAGTAGTTAGGACTACAGGCTTGAACCACCATGCACAGCTTAAATTTTCAATTTTGATACTTACTAGTAAGACAAAATCTGGGACTCAACAAACAACTAAGAGCAAGTGGTTAAATATTTTGTGTGGTACTTTAGACTGGAAACATTAAAATGCAGCATCGAGGTTCTGTATGGTTTTACCATTTCATGGCTTACATCATTAAGACTCTCAATGGTGGTTCTATACACACATTCCAGACAGACTTCCCTTTGTGGGAACTACCAACGGCCATGGGGGGCTAAGGGGACGGTAATCTCTGGGTGGAACTTAACCAAGGTCATGGACTCAGGGATGGTGGTGTTTATTGTGAATGCAATCTTCTCATTGAAATGTCATCACACTGGAAATGCATATATGTACATTTAGTTAATGTACAAATGTACTATAAGGTATAGTTTTATGTCTAAAATATACTTTATTGATAGCCATTTGGTTTATCAGAATGTACTACTGCAACATGAGAGCCACTGTATTTGCAATAAATTCTTTTCTATTAAAACTGACTTCTAAGTTTTTTAGCTTTGAAAAATTCTGTATTTCAAAATATAGAAATTAATAAAAGGGGTATGTTCACCAACTAGATGTATTTAAAATGAGATTCTGCTACAAGCTTGTACAGAGATAAAGAGCTACTCAGTAATCCTTGATCTCCTTTTCCCGGGGACAGCCTCCTCCCATCTGTTAAGTCATTTACTATGCTTGCTTGTAGGAGAAAAACTTGACAGCACTTTAGAGAAACCCAAAAGACTGGAATAGACAGAAGCATCAGCTCTGAAAAAGATTTAACATAAAGCTCAGTAGTTACTTTAAGAACATTGGTAAATGTAAGGTTAAGAAAAATACAAATGTGTTCACTATGCCAAACAATCCCACATACCAGAATTGGACAAGACAGTTCTAAAGCTTATAGTTACTCTAGACAAGTAAATGAACCAATCAGGAAAACTCTGGGGGGGGGAGGGGGAAGGAGAAGCAATGAATAGGGAACTAGGTCTACTCCAAGGACACTTCCAAAATGTCCTAATTTTCACGAGGCCCAGACTCTTAAAAGTGCCTTCACAGTATTGCCTAGCTGAGTTGAATGAGGCTTTCACATATGGGTTTTGGGGACATTCCAGACCTAAACTGTAACAATGGAAAAATTAGAAAACAGTTCAAGCTAAATGGAAATGAAATAATATACTAAAATTTGCGAGAGTCAACAAAGCATTTCTTACCACCAAATATTTTATATTAGAAATAAAGATCTCAAATCCATGTTCACAGCCTCTGCTATAACTAATACTTAATACTATTATTACTATTTTGTGTGTGTGCGCACATGCGCGCATGTGCGTGTCAACACCAGAGCTTTAACTCAGACTGATGTTCACTCAGATTTTCTGCTCATGGTTGGAAGTCTACCACTTACGCTGTGATTTTAGCCTGGCATTCTGCTGCTAATGGGAGAAGGGAGCCTTACAGACTTTTTTGCTTGGGCTGGCTTCAGATCTCAGTCTGCCAGATCTATGCCTTCTGAGTAGCCAGGATCAGCCTCTACCTTTAACAATTAGAAAAAGAGCAAATGAAATACACAGTAATGGGCTAAGGTCATGACTCAAGTGAGGAATGGAGAGAGAGAAGTTATATTGATTGATTGATTATAGTAAGTACAAAAGGATAACGAAGTAATGACAAATGCAGAAGAAATCAAGGTTATAATAGGGGTTGGCAACAATATACTGCAGCTTGAGCCAACACATCCCTCTATAGCATTGTTTTACAACTAGTCTGATTAGAACCACTGCATTCTCTTATCTACATTTGTTTTTGTGCTACAACAGTAACAGTGAGCAGCTGTAACTGGGACTATAAAAAAATGGTTGATGAATTAGAAAACAGAAAAAGAATGGGGGAAAATCACTGAAATAAAATCTTTTACAAGATTAATCTACAAACATTTAATTAGATATATTAGGATAACAAGGAAATAACTTATTATCAAAATTAAAAGTGACATATCTACAGAGATGCAAACCTGCAGGAAAACTGTGCAAAGTTCCTTCTTCAGTCTCAATTTATTGCCTGACAAAGGATGAGACTAATGACCACCCAACAGGGCTACGAACCAGACCAACTCCCACTGCTGCAGACAAAATCTACTGTCTTTCTTTCATCCTTGCCCAATAGCAAATGATAAACTGGTATGCAATTACGTGCTACACATATAGAAATAGTTATAGACAATCATCTTTTCCCTGGAAACATGCATTTCAGAAACTCAGCCTCCTAGAGAGGAGTAAATACCACTAGAAAACAAGCAAGATACAAGGATCTGATTTCTGCTTATACAGGTGATTCCCATTATTTAAAAGAGATTCAGGCTTAAGCATGTTTATTTCTATTTATAAAAGGTCACTGCCTTGGGACTAGGAAGGTGGCTCAGTGGTAGAGTGCTTGCCTCACATGCATGAGGCTCTGGGTTCAATTCCTCAGTACCACATAAATAGAAAAAGCCAGAAGTGGGAAATGGCGCTGTGGCTCAAGTGGTAGAGAACTAGCCTTGAGCTGAAGAGCTGAGGGACAGCGCCCAGGCCCAGAGTTCAAGCCCCATGACCAACAAAAAAGAAACCAGAAAGGTCACTGCCCTGACTGGGACAATGTTATGATTATAGATATTGCTTACTAGAGAAAATAGGCAGAACGGTGTGCCATACAGAAAAACACAAGTCTTTCAGAGTTAGCAAATTATACTCCTTGCCAAGCATTTCTGGTTTTTGTTTGTTATGACTTGCAGGCAGTAGAACTCAGGGATTAGTGAATGCTGAAAGCACTCTTTCACTGAGCTTGGTCATCTTAAAGAATATATCTAAATTTAATATCCAAAGAAGAGGTAGAGGGAGGTAGACTTCGATTGAAGCACAGACATTTCTGTGAGTTGAGTTCAGCTTCATATCTAGACAAGGCCTGGAAGTTCCTCATGTATGTTCAGCCTGGACACAGTCAAGACAGGACATGCTCCAGAACTCCTTGTCTGATCAACTGTTCACATTTCCACCGAGGCAAAAAGTGCTGAGGACAAAGGGGGAGAGTGCAGGGAGTAAGAGAAATGATTATTTTTTTAAATTGTAATTAGTCAAACTGATTGAAGGATGTTATAACTCCTCTGAACAACTTATGAACTGTTTAACAACTTGAATACCCAAAAGCAGACATGTTTGGGGGTACAAAGGGGAAAGCTCATGAATGGAGGGTGAGCAAATGCAGTCATTATATTCAATGTACATCATGTAAAAATGGAACTACCTAACTTTTTTTTTTTTTTTGGTCGGTCCAGGGGCCTGAACTCTGGGCCTGGGCACTGTCCCTCAGCTCTTCAGCTCAAGGCTAGTGCTCTACCACTTGAGCCACAGCGCCACTTCCGGCTTTTTCTCCTTATGTGGTGCTGAAGAATTGAACCCAGGGCCTAATGCATGCAAGGCAAGCACTCTACCACTGAGCCACCTTCCCAGCCCAGAACTATATAACTTGATGGTAGGGATGAGAGGAAGAAAATAGCGGAAAGCAATAGGGAAAGGATGACACTGATCAAGGTACATTGTACTCATAACCTGACTTACGGAATTGAAACCTCTTTGTACAACTGCTTAATAAAAAATTAGTTTGTTTCATGAGAAGGTAGATGAGAAGCCAGGCACTGGTGGCTCACATCTTTAATCCAAGCAATTCAGGAGATTCAGATATGAGGATTGTGGCTTGAAACCAGCCCTAGCAGGAAAGTCTGTGGGACTCTTTATCTCCAATTAACCAGCAAAAAGCTAGAAGTGGAGCTTGGCTCAAGTAGTAGAGAATTATGCCTTGAGGAAAAAAGAAAAAAAAAAAAAGCAAAAACAGGGGAAATGCCCAGGCCTTGAAGTGAAGCCCCAGGATAAGCACACACACAAAAAAGGAGATGGTTAGCCGGGCGCTGGTGGCTCACGCCTGTAATCCTAGCTACTCAGGAGGCTGAGATCTAAGGATCGTGGTTCAAAGCCAGCCCGGGCAAGAGAGACAGTGAGACTCCTATCTCCAACAAACCACCAGAAAACCGGAAGTGGCGCTGTAACTCAAGTGGTAGAGCACTCGCCTTGAGCTGAAGAGCTGAGGGACAGCGCCCAGGCCCAGAGTTCAAGCCCCACGACCGACCAAAAAAAAAAAAGGAGATTGTTATATCTTTCTGCCTCCTACAGGTAAGCAGTACAACTTCACATTTGATGACAGGTATGAATCACCATGCCTGGCTGTATTTGCCATTATAACTAACTGAAATTGATGTCTGTTAAGCCATACTAAAAAGCCATACTAAATTCTGAATTTTATAAATGAATCAGTAGTTTGTAATAGTTCAGTAGAAAAATCCTAAATTTCAGTAGGTATTTTCTTTTCTTTTCTTTTTGTCAGCCATGGGGCCTGAACTCTGGGCCTGGGCACTGTCCCTCAGCTCTTCAGCTCAAGGCTAGTACTCTATCACTTTAGACACAGCGCCACTTCTGGCTTTTTCTGCTTATGTGGTGCTGAGGAATGGAACCCAGGGCCTTATGCATACAAGGCAAGCACTCTACCACTGAGTCACCTTCCCAGCCTCTGTACGTATTCTCTATAACGTTTGTATTTTTAATTCATGCACAGAAAAAAAACCAGGAAGGTATAGTTTGGAACACTGGATTATAAGTGGTACAGAAGCCCATTAAGAAGACCAATAGCAAAGAGTATTTTCTCACTAGATGCTGCTGGCTCATGCCTGTAATCATAGCTACTAGAAATACTGAGATATGAGGATTGAGACTCAAAGGCAACCCAAGAGGAAAAATCTGAGACACTATCTCCCATTAACCAGGTAAAGGCCAGAAGTGGGAATGTGGCTCAAGTGGTACATTATCAGCTAAGTGAAGCCAGGCACTGGTAGCACCTGATCAAAAAAGCCAACAAAGCCAGGTGCTGGTGACTCATACCTGTAATCCTATCTACTCAGGAGGCTGAGATCCAAGGACTGTAGTTCAAAGTCATCCTGGGCAGGAAAGTCTGTGAGCTTCTTACCTCTAGTTAACCACCAAAAAATCGGAAGTGGCCCTGGGGCTCAA